GAGATGACAGATGCCTTTAGGAGGTGGAATTTAGTGAGAGGTCTTTAGGTTACTGGGGGCATGATTTCGAGAGGATTACAGAACCTAGTATCTTCTTCTTTTTCTCTTTCACTTCTCAGCCTCGAAGTGAGCAGTTTTGCTCTACCACAAAATCTTGTTATGATCATCTCACCTCTAAAGGTTTGGTCCACCATGATATGCTCCTTACTGAGGTGCAGAGCAACCAGGCCAACGGACCATGGACTGAAACCTCTAAAACTGCAAGCCCCAAACAAACCTTTGTTAAACTGCTGCTTTCAATTACTTGTTTCAGTCATGGAAACTCACACAGTTACACATATATACAGAGGTTGGTCTTTACAATCTTGATAAGAAATTTTAAACCAAGTCTTAGTACATCCATTTGATATTTATTAGTGACAGGAGGACTACTTGCCCAGGAGCCCAGACAACAAGACAATTTGAAAAGACAGGAAAGTCAGGCTGGGGATTTCTGTTTTTGAAAGTAAAGAATAGCAGTAATCTAGTTACCAGAAAACTTAACTGGAAAAACTTCTTCAATAACAAAAGGAAAGTTTTTGTTTGTCTTTTAAAGGGGCTTCCTTAACTTCTTGGGGGGGGGGACCCATATTACTATGAATTAGAATGCACATAAAGAAAAATGTACAAAGCATAAATATTCAGCATAATGAATATTACCAAACAACCAAGCCCATGGAGATCAAAAGGCAGAGTGTCAAAACACTGCCAATGCGGCAAGGGCTCTTCTTAAACATCCTACTTCTCAGCATCAAGGAGTCCACCAGTGGACTCTTTTTAAGTTTAGGGTTAGCAGCCCCCAGTGCCTCCTAATTTTGATCTTTTTCATTCCTCCCTACAGTTCATCCACCAAAGGAGCATGCAAAGTAAATGCCCATAATACCGATGTCTATCAAACTAATCCAATGTACTTTTTCGAATCTGTTTTGTAGCACTGGAGGTTAAACTCAGAGCCTCACAAACGCTAGGCAAAAGCTTTGTCACTGAACACCCCCCCACACACACACACACAAATACACACACACACGTCATTTTCAAAATTTTATTTTAGCATAAGATTTTACTAGACTGCCCAGACTGGTCTCAAACTTGTAGTACTCCTGCCTCTAGTTTCTGAGTAGCTGGGATTACAGGCAGGTACCACCACCATGTCAAGCCCAATTTACTTTTAGTAAACAATTATTTAAGGGTTTGAAGCAGAATAAACAAAAATAAAAATGAAGCCAAAATGTTTCTCATGCACTAAAAATGTTAGCATGCTCTTCTCCAGAATGTGAGAGACCCTGCTTCTAACAAGAAAGTGTAACCACTTCCCCATCCTAAGGGGAAGGCATTTGCCTGGAACAAATATTTCAGCAAAAACAGCATAATGGTCCAGTGAGGTTTTCCACCTGTGAAATATAATTTAAAATACAGATATAGATATTTTAACAGTTAAAAGCTTAATTAATATTCAACAAACATCACTTGATGTTTGTGGGCAATTATCATGACTAGGAGATAAATTAGTGCTCAATTCTAAATAGAGAGTGAAGTTAAAAGAAAGTTCTAGACCTGGGCATGGTAACACACATCCATAATTCCAACACTCTGGGAGTTTGTAACATCACAAATTCAAGCCCAGCCTAGGCAATTTATTGACTTGGTATGACACTGTCTCAAAAGCAAACAAAAGGGGCTGAGATGTGGCTCACTGTGAAGGCCCTGATTCAATCCCTAGCACCACAAAAAAGGACAAGTTGCTTCACTGCACAGCCCTGTTAGGGTTAACCTGCACAGCCCCCTTGTTGCTTAAACAGCAGATTGTTATGGAAGTGCTCCTTAAGTGTTTGTTAATTGAGTGCATTTTATGCTGCTAATTGAGTGCAAGTTACCAAGGTAACTGTCCATCCTGGAGACACCAGCAAGTTGCAAAATTCATCTTGACTCAGCTAAAATCCAGGGCACCAGCTAAGGGGGTGCTGGGGACGGTGGCACACACCTGTAATTCCAACCCTCAGGAGGCAGACAAGTTCAAGGCCTTGGCACTAGATAGACCCTACTGGAGGAATAAAACCGAATCCGCTAATAAGTTCGGATGTTTATGTGTGACTTAATTCTACTCAAAATGTGGAGAAAATTAACCTTAGGATTTCAAAAGAAATTATTATGCATACAATTTAGGTTACAAAGCAGCTTGTCCAGATGCAACGTTGTTCCTAGGCTTTTTTCACTTGGAGAGCAATGTTAAGGTAAGGTTCAGAAAAAGTTACGAGCTCTTTGGAGAAAATGAAAAAGCAGAAGCAGCCGCGGAGGCCCTTTGTTCCCCTTCTTTTCCGAGGTGAGCCACTCAAGCATGGCCGAGGCTCGCGGCAGAGCCTTGCTTTCTGCGTAGCGCCACCTCGTGGCCTGGAATGTGAAATTGCTTTTATTCACAAAGATTGAAAATCGCAGTTGGGAATGGATTTGACATGTTATGACGCACAGTTATAGAGACTGTAAATGCTAGCTGGAGAATCATTTGGGCATATTTTACTTCAGAGAGTACACCGCCTATTAACAATGTTGTGTCACTGCTCTGCACACAAGTCCCCTGAGGAGAAGCCTGTACCCTGGAGTGTGGGGAAACACAGTCCTGTCCACACTGCCTGGACCTCCCAGATGAAACATCATGAACTGAACCCTGCTGTACCCAGGAAGATCTGGAGAGGAAGCCGGCAGCAGCCTTCTGATGCACACTCTACTATAAGTCTTGTTCATAGGAGAGTATTTTAAGAAAGTTAAGAGCTTAGTTTCAAGTTTTCTCCGGAGATTAAAGAAGCAAAGGTTGTAGACTATAGATTTGTTTTTCCCCCTTGGCCAGACTTTTCTTTACTCTGCATGTTGTTGCAAATCAGACTTGGAGGGTAGGGGATACCACTCAGTGACGTAAGCACCTGCCTGGCAAGCTCAGGGTCCTGAGTTTGATTCTCAGTTCCAAAGGAAAAAAAAAAATCAGTCTTGGCCCAACAGGCACATGCCTGTAATCCCAACATTCTGGGAGGCTGAGGTAGGTGCATCAAAAGTTTGAGCTTGCCTGGGCAATTTAGCAAGACCTCACCTCAAAAAAAAATTATGTTGGGGCTGTAGCTCAGTCAGAAGACCCTCGGTTCAACCCCCCAGGGTGTGTGTTTGGGGGGATCAGACCTGGCCATCACTTTCTTCTAGTTTATGTCAGTCAATCCCATTGAGAAAAGCACCAGTGGTTTTAAGAAGAATGTGAGAAGACCAACATAATAAAAAAGCTTTTATCTCTCTTTCTAAAACACATAACCACAGCTGTTTTCAGGCACAAAAATCTTAAGACCCAGTTGTGAGAAGACTGAGCCAGCTGCCTCACCCGCAGCAGCAAAAGCCCGGGTAAGTCAGGGCGCTCCACTCCATTAAACCCACTTGGCACAACAGCGAAGACTGGGAGCTCTCCTCTCTAGCCTTGCCTTCCTTCCTGGCCCAAGGGCTGATGGAGCAGCGACACAGAGGTGAGGTCAGGTGTGCTCCAGCCATATTAGGAGTGCAGTGGGATGGGGTGGGGAGGGAGGAAGATGGGTAGGAAGTTGGACCAGGCAACGTCTGAGATCCTACGATCACTGATTCACAACGCTTTTCACTTGGGATCGTACAAGAGTGGAAATAGTCTTCGCAATAATTCTAAGTAAACTGAGACTACCTGAGAATTCTTAGCATGCAAGAATGAAATGAAAGAATAAAGAGGCATGAAAATGACAGTTCTGAACAAATGCTGGCGAGGACGCAGGGGAAAAGGAATACTTCTCCACTGTTGGTGGGAGTGCAGACTGGTGCAGCCACTGTGGAAATCAGTGTGGAGATTCCTCAGAAAACTGGGATTGGAAGTTCCATTCAATCCTGCTATTCCCATCCTGGGTATTTTCCCAGAAAACTTGAAAATGTCATGTCACAGAGATATATGTGCACCCATGTTCATAGCAGCACAATTTGTGATACCTAAATCCTGGAAACAACCAAAATGCCCTTCAATTGCAGAGTGGATGAAAAAAAAGTGGTATTTTATACAATTGAATACTACTTAGCTATAAAAAGGATGATTTTGAGGCCTTTATAGGTAAATGGAGGCAACTTGAAAATATCCTCATTAGTGAAATAAACAAGACTCACATGAGTAAATATCACATTGTCTCTCTAGTGTAAAAAATAATAAATACTGACAGAATAAGGGGATCCAAAAAGTATAATAGATACTTTGAAAGCAAAAGGCAAGGAAAGTGCTCTAAAGAGTATAACGGTATATGTAGTGTGTAAGATAGAGGACCGTATTACTGAATCTATGTTGGAACACTGAACAGAAGGATTTGCACTGTCAATGTTTGAGTGTCTAGCCACTATTTATGCTTTGATTTTGTGACTTTGGCAACTATTTTTTAAGACAACAATGAGTAATGTATCAACTAGCAATTCTACAATGATAATTTTTTTGAGTTTGGTATTGCTCTACCCTTCTTTTCTGTTTTTCTATTTTCTTTAGTTTTCTTTTCTTTATTTGAAAAAAAGAGAACAAAATGCAATATAACAACCATTGTTAAACTTCTTTCATTCAGTTTTGAAGACCTGTATTGTTATTGTTTTTAGCATGCTGTTGTTCTTTATGTCTTTTGCTTTTTGTTTTTCTTTTCTGACTCTTCTCTTTTTTAAATAAAATTTAAAAATAAATAAATAAATAAATAATTTTTAAAAAAAGGAAATGACAACTCTGAGAGTTAATGTTATGGAAAGTATATACACATTTCTACTGAATGGTTAAATTACAAAAGAAACAATCACTCTTCTGGAACTCAGCTAGACCCTTAACTCTACGTAAGGAAGTTCAATGTTAGGAGCACAGCCACGGCAGAATTTATATCCTAACTGGATACATGACATGGACTTGAGGAGCATCAGGATTAGCCTGTCAGGGGGTTTCCAGGTACCTGTTTTGGTCAAAGGGATTGAGAAGAGCTGCTGAAGAAGCTTGTTTTCTGATGTTCTCAGGACTACGACCACATCAGCAGGGAGGGTGTCTCTGTTTTTCTCAAGAACCCCAGAAGCATCATATAATACCTGCAACAAAATAGCAGATGCAAGTTACCAAGGCAACTGTCCATCCTGGACACACCAGCAAGTTATAAAATTCTTCTTGACAAACCCAGGTTTTAAAATCCAAGACACCAGATAAGGGAAGCCATAGTGGGGCCATAGTGGCACACATCTGTAATCCCAGCCCTCAGGAGGCTGAGGCAGAAGGATCACTGTGAGTTCAAGGCCAGTTTGAACTGCAAAGAGACCTTGTCTTGAAAAACAAAACAAAATCAAACGAAGACAGAAAAAAAAACAGATAAGGGGGGAAAGTTGTCATTTTGCAAGGTCAATTTGGGTTCTTGTTCAATTGTCTTTGAAGAACAGGATCCTATTGAAGATAATTCACATCAGAATAATTATTAAAATATATCGGACACTTACTATGTGCAAAGCACCCACATTATGAGGGAAACATTATTATCTTCATTTTATTGATGGGCGAACAGAAACTTGAAATGAGATTGAATGATGTGAGTGGTAGGCATCAAACTTGCACAGTTGGGCTCCATCCTCATACCAGAAAACTCTCACAGCATCTAAGGGGTATCTGAGTGATCGCTCAAGGATGTTGGTTGAACAGATTTTGATTCTCAGAACAGCGGGAATCTAGCTCAAAGAAATCTTAATGTCCCAGGGACCCCTTCCCTTGTGTACAATTAAAGGTGTTTTCATTTTTGTTTCAATCCTGGCATTTGAACCCAAGAACACGGAGCCACATTTGCAGCCTTTTATTTTTATTTTGTGACTGGGTTTTGCTAAGTCTCTAAGTTTCCCTGACTGGACTCAAACTTGGCATTCTCTTGTTTCAGTTGGGACTGGGACAGCACTGGGACTGCATGCATTACAAATAAGCTTTAAACAACAAGTGGATTCACGACTGTATACAGAGTCCAGAGAAAAAGGGATGTGTTATGATTTAGAACGGACTGTTTTCCCAGAGCCTCACATGTTCAGAGGTGAGGCTTTGCAAAGGAGATTGGAACATGGGGACCCTGTGCTCATGAGTTCATGGCTAAGTGTGCGGTTAGGAGGTGGGCTTGATCAGAAGTTGGTCATTGGGGATCACCTCACCATGTGGTACAGAAGCCTTTGGAACTGGTTCATAGGTGGAGTTTAGAAAGGTTTGGTGATGTCAGCTAGAGCCCTAGAATATTTCAGGCAAAGATTGATGGGAGATTTTGTCAGAGCTCAGAAGCAAGAATGACAGTAATGCACACAAGAGAGTCTAGCCTCAGGAAAGTTTAGCTGGCAATAAGAATTTCATTGGTAATTGGTCTCCAGATCACATATGTTATACTCTGGTTTATCTACACTTTGTTCATGTCTTGAGACTGCAGGAGATTAAGGAAGACTGACTAATTAATATGGTGGAAGAAATTTCAAAGGAACCCAGCATTCAGGCTGCAGCATGGTTATTGCTTGCTATTTCTAGCAAGAGCTAAAGTAAGCAAATGGCAGAATTCAGTGATTTATAAAGTACAGTTTAACCAGACAAAAAGTGCCTACAAAGTTGGTGCAGTGGTGATGATAGCTGATGAAAACATTAGCATTAAAAAGAAGCCAAATTGGCAGGGCATGGTGGTATACACTTGTACCCCACAACTTGGGAGGCTGACACAGAAGGATCATCATAAATTTAAGGCCAGTTTAGTCTACATAATAAGTTCAAAGCCAGCTCGAACTATATAGCAAGACCCTGTCTCAAAAAAAAAAAAAAAAAGCTAAATGCTTTGCATCAAGACAATAGGAAAGTTGATTTGAGGTTACCTCAGGAATCAGCAAGACTTTGAGCATGACAGACTCAGCAATGCAAAAGTGAATGACTTTACATTGAGAAGAGAGCTCCCTGCTTATGAATTGGTTCCCAGGGATTCGTTTCACAGCGCTCAGCCTTCCAGGCACTCAGACCCCTGCAATCTAGGCCCAAAGGGGTGCAGCTACTGCTTGAACTGGTGAAAAACCTTGTCATTATTCAGGTGATGCTGGTTTTACAAGTATATAGACTACAATGTGGTGGGGTCAAGGAGGCTACCAATCAGATTTCAAAAAAAGTCTGGGAGGCCAGGCAGTGTGTTCCTGCCTGAAGGGACAGCTGTAAGAGCAAAGCCAAAAGTTCAGTGAAAACCCAAGGAAGACAAATATGGAGCATCTATTGAGGAAGGCCAAAGGCCGTGAGCAAAGTCACACCAAGGCGAGTCATGAGGCTGCAGCCAGCAATGTTACAGAGGTAAAAACACTCAAGCCCTCTAGAGTTCATGTCTCATTATGACTTGTCCCAAGTGCTGGGCATGCAACGACAAGATTTAATGTTTGCCCCGCTGGGTTTTTAGTCTTGCTTTGGTCCCAGTCCTTTTTATCCTCCTCCACAAACCTGCCCCCATATCCAGGGCCTCAGCAAACCCCACCAGAACCAATTAGCCATAATTCAGTTGGCTCCTCCGGGAGTAACAGGAGCAGAGTTGCTGGCTACAGACCTAGGGAATTTCCTGATTCAGTCACTAATCTGCTTCTGGAATTTGACATTGAGAAGGAAACATGAAGTATGAGAAGTGGAAATTTCAGTTAACATTGTAAGAGTTTAACATCTGGATAGTGAAGTGAAATTCTTCCCCCTCATCTGGACCTTTCTGGTGACATGGAGATAGATATATGCTTAAGGTGCTAAAGGCTGAGCCACACTGTGCTCATAACCCTCCTGCACCACCCAGGCATCTTCAAATGACTTTAGAATGTGAACATGCCCTGCAGAACGCCACAAAGTCTGTAAATATGTTTTCTCTCTGGAGAGCTGTCAGTTCCAGGCCAGCCTTCAGGTGAGCAGCAGATGGTGGCTCTGTGGGCTACCTCAGCAAGACGCTGCTTCTATGCCAAGGCAACTTTCAGTGAGCAGAAGCAATGATTAGGGGTTCAAGAATAATTAAATGGAGAACCAAATCTACAAGCAGTTTCATGAGGGGCACAGCAGGGCAATACAGACGCTCACTCTGGGGGACACAGGTCTCACCACGCCGCTCGCCTCACCTTTCCAGCGTAGTGCTGAATGCCGAAGCACAGCTCCACTCCTTTGGGCCTCCAGAAGTATTTGCATCGGAGATTATCTTCAAACTTATCTGTGTGGATTTTCATGTCAGAAAGTTACAATACGAATTGTTTGCTCTTTCAAATAAAGACATGCTGCTTGAGCCACACGGGACTCAGAATAACAGCTGTCGAACCATCCTGACGTTATCACCTTAAGGACAAAGGTATGGAAAGACCGCTGCACAAAGGGTGTGTCCAATTTTGCCTTCTTTGAGTCGTTCAGTGTCATGTTCAGGGTCAAGCTGTGCCCAAAGATGGCATGTTTGACTTTTTCTGACTCCTAGCATGGATATTAATGTACCATAGGCCCTGTCAAGTAGCTTTTGCTCTCCAAGAAATATATACTTGGGCTGCTGCAGGAATCAAATGGAGACCTAGTCCAGATGACTCTGCTCTACCCTTCTGTAGCTCTTCTCAATTAGGTCCATAAGGGGTCTCTCCCATAACATAACCAAAGCCTGATAACTGCACATGCACAATCTCGCAAACCTGCCCCGGTATCCTTAGTGGCTTTGGTCCACACTCTGGAATATAGGTCCTACAAAGACTTTTTAATGGCCTAATCTTGCCTTCTCATGATTTGTGTCTTACGTTAGAGCATGCTGATCTAGAACACTAAGAGCTTGGAACACCAAAGGCCCCTGGCACTGAAAGCAGCCAGCAGGAGTTGATGATGCCAAAGATTGTTGGCACCAAAAATTATCAGCATCCAGTGCAGGTAACAGCAGAGGCTGTTGGTGCCAAACATCAGCAGCTGGGGTCTGTGACACTCTGCAGGAAAGCCAGCTGTGGAGAATGGTGAACAGCAACAGAGCATTGTTGGGAGTCACCAACTCCAGTAGCAAGAAAAGTCCCTAAAGCCTGGTGATAGCTCCTTGCTCCAAGAAGCAACTAACAGTAAAAGAGCTGATAGCCACTGTTAGAAGCTCAGGGATTGCTATGGTTTATATCTAGTTGTCCCCCACCACGCTTCCTGTGCTCATAAGATAGGGGTTTGGGGAGGTAACTGTATCATGCAGATCTGACACTCATCCATGGACAAATGCGATGTCAGGAGGAGGTGGTCACTGGGGTGTGGCCTGGAAAGGTGTATTTCCCTCCTCTTCTCTTGATCCCTCTCTCCTTCCTGCCTGAGAGCCACGAGATGCTTCTTCTGTGATGCCACTCTGCCATGCCACTCTGCATTGGAGCCAGCCAACTATGGACTGAAACTCCTATAAACCTTACCTCCTTAGACTTGCATTGCATCTCAGTGACGAGGAAGTAACTAAGACAGGGCTGTTAACACTAAAAGAGCTGTCTTCTGCCAACTTACGATTTCTATATGAAATGAGCAAGAATTCTCAGCCTATTGGTAAGATCTTAGAGGCTTTCTCTTTAGAAGGGACTTTCCCTTTAGAAGCCCCTGCAAGAGGGAAGACAAGGGTGACAGTCCTCACCAGTGGAGAAGCAGCTCACAAATGGCCTCATGTCTGATTTTCATCTTTCATGCGGCTAAGAATCCATGCTAGCCAGTAGCATGAGATCTCTGGTAAGTACTGAAGAGACACAAGGATGGGGCCCTGTCTCCCAAGGCTTCTCACAGTCTAGGTCAGGAGCAATGCTTGCTTGGGGGAAAGAAGAAAGGCCTTTGATGCCAGGAGGAGCTATCCTCACTTCATCCTGTAATATCAGCAGTGTAAGGAAAAGGTGGCCAGGATGTCTAGAGGAGAAAATGGCAGTCTGAAAGCCAGAACCAGAAAGGGCTTCTCCCTAACTGGGACTAGAGGTAGCTTGGAAAGTGAAACATATAGAAAGACTCAGGATGGTGATAGGCTGACTTGAAGACACGAATTCTACCACAGTATTACAATTCAATTGAAAACAATTCTATAGTTTACAACCCACCAGGTAGCCAAAGTACATAAAATAGAGTCATTAAAGCCCATTCATTTAAGACAGGAACCAGAATCCGGTTCTGTTCCCAGTCTATGTGCCTTTTTTTCCAAAAAGGTACCTACCAACCAGGGTCTGGTCCGTTGCTTGGGGAAACCGACTTTCCTCATCCAGAAGTGCAAGCAGGCCCAGGGGTTTCTGGAGGAACATGTCCAGCAGTGGCCGATTGTCCTCGTACTCCACAGGGATGGCATCGATACCCTCATTCTGATATTCCATCTGGAGGGAAATGGGTTGTGAGTCTCTGCAGACTGAAACTGACCTCCATACCCCCAGGATATTTTGGCTTGGACTTTCTGGGTCTGGCAACCTTGAATGCATGTGGAAAACAGGGTGAGCTTTATGTAAACAGTAAAGGAATCAGCTGTGCAAGCTGGCTGTTTGTGTGACGTCCAGTGGGCCTGTGACAAGCAGCTCATGCAAGCAGAAATGGGCTCCTAACACAGATTTGGAAAGATCATAATTCAGGAACTCATGCAGGAAAGGGGAGAAGTGGAGACAATTTTTTATTTTGGTGGCAAATATACCTTATGCCAGGAAGAAGGCAGACATCTATCTTCTTGAGGGAATCAATTTGGGAAAGAAAACTAGGAAAACTGCAGCCACCCTGTGTCACTTTGCACATCATGGTAGACATGCTGAGTTACAGCAGGAGAGAATAAAGCATTCTGAGCAATATGCATGAAAAAGTGAGTCTCAAAGCAAGATTTAAAGGATTGGCGTGTCACCAGCTCCATTCAAGTGAGCAAACATAACATCCCTCAGAAACTAAGATGTCTTTTTTTCACAGTAATTTAGACGTGTTATTATTTATTTGTTTATTTTAAATTTAAGTTCCTTGGTACGATTTAGGTATACATATGACCACCTTCGTTATGGGGAACTTGTGTCTGTACATGACATACCTTGTCTCCTCTTTTTTATGCCGTCTTCTCCCCTTTTCAAACCCACTTCCCCTCTCTGTTCACAAAGCTCAGCTTTCATTTTATCCTTTTTTTCTCCTTATTTTTCTCTCCTTCCTTCCTTTCCCCTCCCCACCTCTAAAATATAAATAAGAACATAAATGGACACTAGACGTTGTAAAAACGAAAGAAATTGGTTGTATATTTTTGAAATGATCATCTCACCGATGATTTTCGTATACTCTTTTTTGGGGGGTAGGTACTGAAGATTAAAGATTGCAGAGGGTCTTTGCATTGAGCCATATTCCCAGCCACTTTCCTTTTGATCCAGGGACCCCCTAAGTCACTGAGTTTCCCAGTCTGGGCTCAAACTTGTGACCCTCCTGCCTCAGCTTCCCAGAGTGCTGGCTGGGATGACAGGCAAGTGCCACTAAGGCAGGCCCCCTGTTAGTCTAACAGGGTTTTTACTTTAAACTGCAGGCAGCTTAGAGACACCTTTCCCCATCAGATTCAATAACTTCAAATTTCACTCTTACCTGCTCAAGAGCAAACACATGCTGATTGAAATAGTACTGGATTTGCTCATTGGCGATATTTATACAGAGCTGCTCAAAGGAATTTCTCTGAAAGTTCTCAAATCCAAAAATATCCAAGATCCCCACATTCATTCCATGGTCTGCACTACTGCATGAAAGAGATAAACAAAAATTTTTAGGGGAAGAATCACCCATCCCAAGATGATGAGAATATATGTACCCGAATGTCCATCAACTCAGGTATGAAAGCCATGTCCTATATATATAGCAGTAGGACCCTTTAAAACCTCACTTTGGAGCCTCTGTGTAAAACAGATGAAGGGACTGTCACCTCGGCACTCTCCCATCTACCTGCCCACAAAGCCTAACTGGGGCAGCATCCTTTGTTTAGTGTGATGTCACCTTCTCCCATATACAGAAAACCACTAATTTTTAGGGGGGGAAAGTAGCTAATAATGTAAGCTATTGTGCTTTAAAACTTTTCATGACATATTTGATTCTAAAGTCACCATGAAGAGGACATTTTACAGATGGAAATGTGTGATTCTGAGCATGCAGCTGATTAAGCTGTAGAGCTTGGGGTGGGCCCCGTTTGTCCAGCTCCTGGCCAAGCCCACTCTCTTAAGCTCTCCACGCGAATGGCTTCATCAATCACTCACCTCTCAGCCATTAAACACTGGCTTTCCTGGATCCTCATGAGTCTTTTCAAGGAGAAAGCCTGAGAGCAGTGCTGAAGAAAACCCCAGGGAGGATCAATGCTTCCTCTTGCAAACCCTAAGAGACGCCGGGTTGAAGACGGCCCTCTTGAAACCTCTGCTTCCCTGGGGAACTCACCATATGTTTCTGTCCGGTTGCAGGAGTGTGTTGATGCGATTCACAATCCAGCTGAAGAGCCTTCCGTACAGGGCTTTGGACATGGCATCCCGGACGTCTGCGGCTCTGTCCACAGTGTTGGCGCGGACGATGGTCTCACCTCTAGTGACCACACAGTGGGACGTGAGGGCCTCCTGCAGCTCTTCAGGGCTGATGCAGAGAACAAAGGCAGCTGGAACAAAAAATAAGGACGACATTAGGGAATGTGGTCATCCTTTCATTCTATTGTTCAACCAGCATTTATTCAACATTTAGTATGTGCCACGGTGTGTCCTAGGCACTTCAAATTGAGATGGTCAAGCAAGGCGCCTGACCCCAAGAAGCTGTCAAACTGACTGAAAGTGCCTCACAGGTATTTGATGGAAAAAAGGGGTGGAGGGACGGCCTTCTATCACCTGAGTTGGAACAATAGCTGCAGACAAGATTCTTCTTATAGTTGTGAAGTACAGTACATTAATATATTAAAGACTCTAAAATGTACAGCAGTTTGATTCTGTTCTTGGTAGAGAATTAAAGTGACTCAGGTTAGGCAAGAGCTAGCCAGAGAGCTTGGTTCATTCAGAGATCTGTTCTTCGTTACTCTGGAGGTGGCCCAGGCAATGGGTATAACTGAATAATTCTGATTCAGCTCATTAACTGAAAGGAATGTCTTCTGCTTTGCCAATCTGGTTTTTTGTTGGGAGGGAGAATTCCTGGTTTAAGAGACAAAATTTGTCACCTCATATAGAACAATCCATCTTTCAGCTTACTACAGAACAAATAGCTGAAATGATTATTTTTTTAAAAGTGCTGCAGTTTAACACAGAAAAGTTTTTACTCTATTTAAACCAGTTTGCTTCTTATAACTAAGAATTTTTACTGTTTATGCCACCATAATGATGGGTAAAACTTTAAGAATAAACAGATGCCTGCTTTCTCTCCTGCAGATGCTGAGTCAATGAATTCAATCTCCTGTTTTGTTTTTGTTTTTGTTTTTGTTTTTGTTTTTTTGTCTTTTTCTTTTTTATCGGTACTGGGGATCGAACTCACGACTGCCCGCTTGCAAGGCAGGCGCTTATGCTGCTGAGCTAAATCCCAGCCCTACCTGTATTTTTTTTCAAAGCATATAGAGGATTCTCAACAGCATCCAAGGATGAGAACTGGTGCCCCAAGTTCCCGGCCATGTAGTCCTTTTCTGCAAAACAACCATCTGCAGCTTGTGGAAGCAACACTGATGAGCCTCAGGAACTTCTTGGAAAAATATTAGTGAAAACATCCTAGGGCCATAGAAGGACCAGCCAGAGCTGCATTATAATCTTTGAAAACTACTAAAGTGAAAGAAGTATATCTGTGTACTCTAGCAACGTAACACACAGACATTAGAAATTACCGTTTTTCAGAGCTTCCGCATTGGGCACTTCACTTTTATCAGTTTGGTGTTGAGAGGAAATAGCTGCAAACTCAACGTTCCCGATGTTCAGAATCCCAGCCAGAATCCTGTACACTGAGTGCACTTCCTGAAAAGGACACCAAGAACTGTATTTGAAGGTCCTGCCAATGAAACCAAACAGGGACTAGAACTATGGCATGAACTGCTAGTTATCCACCAAGTCCATTTGCACCTTTTTGCTGGACACACACACAGATTTTCCAACCTCTTTTGCACTTGGGGTGCTAGACAACTAAATTTTAACAATGGGTCAAGCAGAAGAATGTGGGTCTCTTGTAGTGCAGTTCCTACAGGAGCAAGCATGCGTCCTCCTCATTTTCACGCTCACTAAGCTGACCAGAGCTCCCAGCAGCACAGCCTCAAGCACACCATTAACAAGGATGCTCCACATCAGTGATGGATCACGAGGAGTGGAGTCACTCTGCAGCCTGAACCTTTGCCTGGGAATGGTGATGGAAGGGGAACTTACCTTCTTTGTTCTTCATACTGCTTGTTAGCCTTTTACCTTATCTAATATCAGCTCCCAAATAAAAGTATTTTTTTCCAAAGCAAGAAAACACTCGCCTCCCCTCCCTCCCCTCCCTTCCTTTCCCTTTCCCTCCTCCTCTTTTCTCTTCTCCCCCTCTGCCTCTCACCTTCCCTTCTTTCCTCTCTCAGTGATACTGGGGATTAAATCTAGAACCTTCACAGTGAGCTACCTCCCCAGCCCTTTTCATTTTTTGTTTTGAGACAGGGTCTTGCTAAGTCACCAGGTTGGACTTGAACTTGCTGTCCTTTCCCATCAACCTCACAGAGACTTGGGATTACAGGCGTGTGCCACCATGCCTGGCTCCTTCATCTCTTCCGAGTATAGCTTTTATGAAACATTTGGGAGGGCATATGCTGATGGACAGCTAGAACATCTCCAAGCAACAAGACAGAGTCTGTGTTGCGAATAAAGTCAGGAAATATTCTGAAAGGGTCACTAGAAATTATCTTAATATAACAAGAAATATATATTTGGCTTTTGTCCCCAGTTCCTGATACAAAAGCTTCTAAAATCCTTGTACCTTTCTGGGTGCTAAGGGTCTTGTACTGGCAGTGAGTGCCTTTTAAACACATCTGAATTTATGCTAATAAAGCAACTCATCAGGGGCCTCTAGAGGGATGGAAAGGGTGGTTGTCTGAGAAACCAATCAAGTTAGAAGAAGGCTGAAACTGTCAGCCCCCCCTATCAAATTCTGGGCAGGAGAGAGGGAACAGAGATTAATAATTAATCATCATGCCTGTTCCCCAGGTTGGCAGCCACCTGGAGGTGCAGGGAGGATGGCGTGCCCAGAAGGTTGGCGGCCCAGAGCCCCATATATGTTGCCCTATGCACTTTTTCCTTTTAGCTATTCCTTAGTTTTGTCCTTTAATAATAAATCTGTAACTGGAAGTAACATGCTTCCCCGAGTTCTGTGAGCCATTGTACAAGTTATCAAATCCAGAAAGAGGGCCATGGGAACTCCGATTTATAATGCATGAGTAAAGAGCACAGAAGTCCTGAGCTTGGTGCTGGATGTCTGAGGGGACCAGTCTTGTGGGACTGAGCCCTTGCTGTAGACCTAATGCTAATTCCAGGTAGAAAGAACTGAACCGAGTAGTAGCACATTGAGCTGGCACCAGATAGTTGATGGGACAGGCAGTGGGGATGGCAGGTGGGGATTGAATAAAACCAATTCAACTTATCTAATTCTTATTTTTATATTGAAAATTGAATTTATAAGCAGTATTAGTGCTCTAAAAAAACCTTTAGAGGCCGGGAATATAGCTCAGAGGCACAACACCTGCCTACAAGCGTGCAGTCCTAAGTTCAATTTGTGGTACTCCTCCCTCCTCAAAACAAAGTTTACTAATGTTTTAAAATGTACATCTTCTGAGCTGGGTGTGGTGGTACATAACCTCCACTCAGGAGGCTCAGGCAGAAGGATCCTAAGTTCAAGGCTCCCCTGAGCAATTTCAGAAGACCCTGTCTCAAAAATAATATCGAAAGAGCTGGGGCCCTAGCTCCGAGGTAGAGCACTTGCTTAGCGTATATGTACCCCTGGGTTCAATCTCCAGTAGGGAAAAAGAATATTATATTTTCTACATGTGAAACAATGAAATAAGTAGCCAGGAAGTTTCTGTATTTTTTGCTTATAGATAGAGAAAAATATTTTCACAAAAATACTTTGGCAGGTTGTTTGATTTAGTACTCTACATAGCAGCAAACAAGAGCTGTCATTAGACCACTGATAAAGCACAGACCTCAAACTGAGACATCTTTAAACATCCCAGTGAAGCCCAACAGGGAACACAGTGGGAACAGCGACACCTACTGGATGGTAATGCTACAAAGACAAATGATTTTAAGTAGGGCTTCTGCAGCAGATAAATATTGTTCTTCCAGCTTCTAAATCAAAGGCAAGACGTCATGTTTCTAACTTCAAGAATCCCTGTTTAATCACACAACTTAAAAGTGGCTAAGGCGAACACCTACCAAATGGGTTTTCTGAGACTTGCTTGGATTTAACATGACAGCAGCTCATTACCTTGATCAATACAGTGCAAGGCTCGCTGAATGCATCAAGCAACTCTGCAGACAGAGGTGAGAGAGTGAAACAGAGGCTGCCTCGCAGTGAGCTCTGCATGCGCTGCATCTGTTTCCATTACCTCTGGAAGGTTTCCACACTCAGGGAAAAGCGTATTTCCTCTGATTAAAACACAGCCAGCCCCATCTTGTATTATATAGCACGAGCCATGAAACCTCCTAAAATAAGGTTTCTGGGCTCTTTGCAACTGGGAGCCTCCAGAGAAGAAAACAGTTGTTAATGATCATGCCCTGAGACTAGTACATCACCTTGATCCTTCTCTAGCAACATTCTCTTCAACTTAATGCCCAGGCATCAACCAAAGTGGAAAACCAAACCCAGCAAAAACTTTTACATTCAAACACAGCATGACTCACTGAAGCTAAAGGTAGTGTGAGGTTTCTCCCGGGGTTCTGTGAGGGGAAGTAGAGAGTATCTGACACTTCCTCATCAGGAGTTACTGGCTTTCGTGCATCCTCTATTCCCAAAGATTTCTTTAACTCCACCATAAACGAATCACTTCTTCCTTTTCCAAACAATTTTTCAATGTTGCTATCTCTTTTCGTTTCCTATCAGTTTCCAACTTTCTATATAAAATGAAATAAACTGATTCAGAATAAGAAATATTATCTAGAAGACTGTGAAGTCTCCATCTGGGTCATATCAGTCTACTGCTGATGAGCATGAATGCAATCTCCTCACCAGTCAGCCAGAGGGTGGAGAGTGTTTCTCCACCAAGGCCCACCGCAAGAGGCATGGCTTGATTCTTCTCTCCTTCTCCAGGGCATTTCTTCTCTGGTGTAGACATTTCCTAGACAGCCTTGAGGTCATGCTGAAAGAGCCTGGGCTGGTGTACTGAAAGCCCTCAGGCCTCGTCTGCAGGGACCTCAGGTCCTTCTCTCACTTCAGGTCCACTCCACCTCCCCTTCCAGCCCCACCCACCTTCCCTCTCCCCTGTAGCTCTCCAGTTTTCACCTGTTCTGCTATAAGCACTGCCTTAGGGCCAGCTGAAGGGGTCTCACCATGAGCCCTATTTCAGCACCTTACTCCGCACTCCAGAGCAGTTCACAACTTCTGACCTCTTAAAGTCAACAGTACTGAGCACAGCCACATGTGTCTGCAATCCCAGCTCTGTGGGAGGCTGAGGCAAGAGGACCCAACTTTGAGGCCAGGCTGGACAATCAGTGGGGCTCTATCTCAAAAAGGAACATAAAAAGCACTGGGGGGATGTAGCTCAGTAGTAGGACTGGGTTCAGTGCCCACTACATTAAAAAAAAATTAATGTTATCCAATTTCTGTGGTGAAGGCACTGAAAATCCTCAGAGTCTTTAGTTATACTTTAGCATATATAGCTTCTGCTTCTCTCTAGCAGTATTCTTTGATTTATAATCTATTTTAAAGAAAGAGTTTTTGCCCTAAACTCAAAGGCTTCTCCCTCACCTCTGCATCCATGGGTCTGCAATCTATGTCCAAGCTTGACCATTGTATGGATAATTTGCCAAAAAGTTTTCCCCTCTTTTTTCTTTCAGATTTTTATTTTTATGAGTACATATCTGTACATCCTTCAGTACACAATGACTATTACATGTACCCAACCCATCTTAATTCTCTTTTTCAACTCCCTCTCCACCTGTCCCCTTCCCTCTATCTCTTGAATCCCCTCCCTCTTTGCAAAAACATCTACTCTCTTCTCTGTCTTCTAGTATCTGTCTTTTACTTTACCCTTTAATTACTTTGGAGCTCTCATATAAGAGATGTCATGTGATATTTAAATTTGTGTGTCTGATTTATTTTACTTAACATTATGGTCTTCAGGTGCACCCATTGTCTTATAAATGACTCAGCTTATCTTTCTTTATAGCACAGTAGAATTTCATCACATAGTTTTTATGTTGCATTGAATATAAATCATTTAAAACCTGACTTACTTGATAAACAAGTCCAATATCTGCAAGACAAGCATAATGTTAATCAAAAACAGTATGGTTTAACTCCAGATAGAGAAGTTGAATACACTGGTCTTCACAAGAGGTTTTGGTATAATTCCTTGAGCCCCTTGCAAGGAAGCATTATCATTACTGGATGTCTCCCTCACTAGGAAAGTTTCTTTATAACAAACTTACAGTTAAATGTCACTTTAGATACTTTTGGTTGGTGTCCTGGAATTAAAATCATCCTCCTGAGTCCATACTAAAGTTTGCTACTCATAATTTTGCTGGACAGGTTTGAGAAAAACTTAAAAGCATCCCTGCAGGGAACCAGTGATCTTCTAAGAAAGGGCAGGAAGAGTAAATTTTGATTGAACTGACACCAGTTCATTTAAGCTCTGTGTAGAAATGTCTGTCAGAAAAGCTTAAGAGAAAGTTATACCAGCCATTTGGTATCTGCTGCCTGACTTAAATCAAATCTTTCAGAATTTAGTTACATTTCTGTGAGTTCATAAACACAAAATGAACTGTGCTAGTTTAGCAGAACAGGATGTGTTCAGAGAAATAAGCACAAAATTTAGGGTCTAAAAGGTGAGATCTGGACTCTTTGCTCCGTTTTTGAGGTTGTTAACCAACATCAATTGGTAGGTTTCCAGTATGAATGAAGGTGGGACACAGTGCAGAAGCACACACAGACACCACATGCTCTGATTAGTTACTAAATAATTCAGATCAGGCATAACTGCGGAAGCTTCTCCAACTTTTTCATTTCTCTCCTTTCATATCCATTCGTATAGCCATTCATTCCTTTATACTGTTCTTTTTCCCCCACCAGGGGTTAGGGATAGTATACTTAATATGTTTAATTTCTTTTTTGATTTTGTTATCTTAAAATGGATAGCGCCCATCTTATGAATACTAGCATGTGTTTTTATGTTTAGAAGAGCACCATTGCATGTTTTCTTCTAGAACTTGGTCCAATCTCTTCATAGAAGTCTATAAATATCTTTGCTTTCATTGAAAGCAAAATACTATCCACCCTATGGCCTGACTTCACTACGGCCCCCGTGCACCATTGAGGAAGCACACCCCGAGCACTCTGGCATGACCCAAGTAACTTTTAATGGCTCCGCTGCCATTCCTACCTTGCTTTGACTCTTCAGCGACACAGTTGATAAAAACCAGCTCTGTAAGTTAATAACCATAAAGGTCGTTTAGAAGTGCTGGAACCTGTTTAATTGCTCTCCTCTAAGGAGCCAAGGGAAATATATTTCTATTTTCATCTGACCTTTGGGATTTTCCACTGTCTGTCAGCTTAAAATCTGTTGCAGGGGGCCAATAGGAAACAGTCATGGCTGGCTAGAAAAAGAGAAAGGTATTACTATGACTAACACCAATCACACTGGGAGGGAAAGGCTAGCCAAACTCTGGATTACAGAAGCAATTCTTTATCCAGAGTGGCTGTCCCAAGGTAACTGGAGTGTTTTTAATCTAGTCCCTTAAGATTTAACACTCTTACCTTACCTCCTAATCATTCACGCCTTTGTTGGAAAAGCAAAAGAAACTATATGTTTTACAAAATTGATGGCATGAAGCCCAGAAACTGTGACACAATCTACCACAGAATAATATGTGAGCCTAGGGTTATAAATACTATCTGTCATTCTAAGCATACATTTAATTGTCAGCCTGGATCTAGTATGATGAAGGTAGTATAATATTTAGAGCGATAGTGTGCAATTGTGATCATGAAGAAGGAAGTGACTGAATGAAAGTTGAAGGTTTCAATTAATTTGTCTTGATGCACAAAGAGTGACCTGCATAAATTTATTTCTATGAGTTGGGCATAACCTATATATTCCTGTTCTCCTATACACAATTCAGTTGAAGGAACTCAACTCAGAAAGGACAGTATTGTTTGGTGTTTGTCATTTACAGTCATATTGAACTGATAGCAATACACTGCTGCTCTGTTCATCTGGGCACCTTTCTACATTGTGTATTCTGCTTTAGTCATTCTTGGGTGGATCTGGGAATATGCATTTCAAACAAGCTTTCAGGCAATGACAACCTTATTACAGGAAAGACCTTATTACAGGACCAATGAGGCATTTGAAAAGTACATATCCACCAGCCTCTGGAAGGCCGAGGCAGGAGAACAGCAAATTTGAGTCTCAATCAACCTATCTCAAAATAGAAAAATAAAAAAGGGCTGGGGATTAGATTCGAAATGTGCAATAGATATTGTGAAAGCAAAAGGGGAAGAGACTGCTCAAAAAGAAAGAACAACTGGATGGGAGAAAGGAGAAAAGAAAGAAGGGAAAAGAAGATAGATACATATGTTAGATAATTATACTACTACTATCTGTTAGCTCATCAAAAAGACTGATTTGTGCTTTCATTTTCTGGTCTTTTTTTATGCCTGTATCTTGTAATCTGGGCAATCACTTTGAAGGTAACAATATGCAATATATTAACCATTGACAGTCTCCTATTATTGTGTTTTGAAATTCTGTATTGTTATTTTTATTTGTTTTTTGCTCTAAAATTTAAAGGGTGGAGGAGTACCGAGGATGTAGGTGACTGTGAAGGCCTTGCGTTCAATCCCCAGTACCACACACATGCACAAAAACTACTATACATATTCTGCCCCATGTTAAAATGTCTACATCTTCCATCACATTCATTTAGAATATTAGCATATAAATTTCTTTCTTTCTTTCTTGACAATCATTTACCTTCTCAGTGAACCCAATAATCCTGAAGCAATGCTGAATTGCTTCAAATTGTCTTCTGTAAGATCCCTTGGAAGTTATGTCCTGCATGACTCTCCCCGTGCCATCGGCGAGGTACCTATCACCAAACACAATGACCATTGACTTGGAAATAGCACCTCAAATGCCAAGACAGGTGCCACTTGGGCTCCTCTTTTACCATCTGATACTGGATGGCTGAATACACACATGGCTGAATAAAATAGGCACAGTCGAGTTTTTGAACATTCTAGAAAATGCAGATGGTGAGATGTGATTCCCACCATCTCATCTTGTCTATTTAAGCTAAGCAGACTGAGTTTCCAGTTAGAAAAACAGCTCCATTTACTTTGGAATTTGTCAACTAATAATCACACATTCATTCAAAATTAACAAGCAAAACTCCTGACAATTACCTAGGAGGCTTTTCCTTAGGAAGTCTGAATTCAGAAAGTTTCTCTTGGTGATAAAGACCAGCATAAATATAGTAAAATATGTGAAAATTTTTCTCTCCCCTGAGGAAAGAAAAGAAGAAACTTTATTAATACTATCTTTCAAGCCTCCCCACTCTGAAGTAATTTATATCATTTTCTTTCTGTTCAAAAATATTATTCCATAGAAAATCTGCACTTTCAGGCAATTAAATATGCTTCATCCCAATTACAGAATAGTAATAATGATAAGATTCATATAATAATTTCACAATTTACATTATTAAACACTTTCCTGTGAGCAGAAGGAGGTTTTAGAAACCAGAACAAGTAACAGCTCAGGTTACAGGTATTAGATAGAGATCCTTCCAGTGCCACACCCAGCACCTGGGCTGCCGGCCTCTGTTTATAGTCCCTGCTGCTTCAGAGACCGCGAAGACATCAGCCAGGTCACCTCCTACTGTACTGGAGCCCCAGGCAGGAAGTGACCTGCACACTGTACAGCAGGCTAGGGAGTGGAACTGGTCCATACCCGAGGTCTGCACTTCCCCACATGCACATGCTTTCAGGTACCAAAGCGTCATCCCTCAGCCCCCCTGGTCTCCTGCTTCTACCTCTTAAGCCACCCTGGCCAGTGTCTTTCTGGATAGATTATTTCAGATAGGGGCCTGGTCTGTGCAACCCTGTTAGCTTATTGTGCTTGAATAGTAACTTTTTTTTAAAACTATCTATATACCTTAACATCCCATAACATCACGTGGCATCACTTAAAAGCATACAGTAAAATTTATTTTTTTAAAAAAATACAGATTAGTAAGAAATACATCTTTAGTTGAGTGAATGGATGTGTGAAGAATGGCGGGGAAGTGTAAGCCCCTCTCGCTGATCTTGTCGCTCATCTGTTTAATGTTCCCGCCAGTCTCCATTGTGCGAGGACACTGTAAACACATGGTAGGAGAAGATGCTTGGGTTTTGTTTTTGTTTTTGTCCGGCAGTGCTGGGGTGCAATTCAGGTCCTTGGACACGCTGGGCAAAGGCTTGATCACTGAGCTACACTCTGGCACTTGGGTTCCTAGGCCAGACCTGGACCTGTGGCACCTGTGTGCCCAGTAGCCCCAGACTCGTCCACCTCTCTGCTCTGCTCTGCCACCTTAACCTGGCCAGTGCGCTCTCTCTCTCTCTCTCTCTCTCTCTCTCTCTCTCTGTCGCTCTCAGATTCACCAAAGCCTCTTAACGATGTTGGCAAGTGTTCTCTCCGCTGGCCCATGAAGCATCTCCAAATGGATTTGGGGTTTGATGACTCCCACGTCCCACAGCTTCCTGTGTCCTTGGAAAAAGGTTTGAAGCCCGCAGCCTGGCTGCAGAGTTCTGTATGACCCGGTCTCAGTCTCCTCTGTGCCACTCTTTCACTCCCCTCTCCTGGCCCATCTTGTTGGCTGACTTGAGATCTTCGGATCTCAGATTAAATGTCTACCCAGGAAGATCCTCTTTCCTCCTGCACTAGATCATGGCTCTTCTTTTTTCCTCTCTTACCTTCCTACCATCTTACATTGCTTCCTGGCACTTAACATGTTTTCATTTTTTTCATTTATTCTTTTAACAAGGCACCCCTCCCATCTCGCCTCAGCCGCCACACTCCAAGCTCTGTGAATTCTGGAACCTTGTCCATTTTGTTTCCTCTTGCAGCCCCAGAATATAGCAGGTACTAAACAAAGCGTAGCGATATTGTATGGTGTCATGCTCCTGAGGAACTCTGGTGTCCTGCAGGGAGGGTATAACAGGACGAGTGGCTCACACTCTGACAGAGTGTATCACACCAGGCATTCTTTTAGGGGCTTTACATAAATGAACTCACTGATTCTTATGACACACCCACAAAGTCAGCATCAGTTGCATCACCATGTCACCCAAGAGGTACAGAAAGGTCTGTGTCATGCCTAAGGTCACACAGCGCCAGAGCCAGTATTTGAAGCCACAGCAAAGCCCATGCTATCAACTATTATTATCTATCAATATACTGCTCTTCTTAAAACAGATTTTTCCCTCTTTCACTAGGTGAAATTAACATGTTGAGTATTCTCGGTGATTTTTACAGGTAAGTTCAATTTTAAGAGAGTCAGTGATTTTTTTTTTTTTTTTTTTTTTTTTTTTTTTTTTTCCTTTTTATCGGTACTGGGGATTGAACTCACAACCGCCTGCTTGCAAGGCAGGTACTTATGCCGCTGAGCTAAATCCCCAGCCCGAGAGTCAGTGATTTTTAAAAACGTATTTGCAACACTGTTAAATTCTTCCTGATCAATCAAGTCAGAGGCAACAAGCTTATCTATTCTAAAAGCATGTCTGCCACTCAGCACTTTGTACTCTCTGCCCTGTAACATCTTTTAGATAAAAACGTCCACCGACCCTCTGCTTAAATAAGTCCTTGCTCTTGGGAAGCCTGGAGATGCAGGAAGGGCGAATGCTAAAGAACAAGAATGTAAATGGAACGGTGGAAATTGTCAAAGCCTCCAAATTTATAATGCAGGGCAAAAACAGTGATGAAGCAGTAAACTTACACTGCCTGTTTTATGACTCTGGATTTTTCAAGGAGATATTCAGAGATTCTTGCCCCCATCACAGCTCCAGTCGGTGTAAACATCATTTCCAGATATTTTCCAAAGCGGCTCGAATTGTCATTGATTGCAGTACACGCGTTCCCGAAGGCCTCCACCAGGGAGTTGACTTGGAGAATCTTCTCTCGCAAGGTCTGATTGTTGGCCTGTGCCCCACAGAGAACAGTCAAGAGATGCCCATGAAAGGTGACCCAGCAAAAATGCCTAGCACTGCCTACCTCGCCACTAACACTCACAGTGTCCTCTTCCTTCCCTGTTTGGAGAAATTAGCAGCCACTGTCAGCATCGTTTTCTCAAATAAGCAACTCACCAAGTATGTAGGATTCAGATACTGGTAGACCAGGGCAGCAGTTTTTAAATCTTGCTGCACTTCATTTGAAATCCTTGACAGGTAAAACGCTAAATTGTTTAGAAAAAAAATTTTAAATGGAGAGATCAGATAACTTTCTCAGTCATCCTCCTGTGTAAAAAGTATTCCTTATACTTCCTTGATCATGTAGTAATGCTACTTCTGAGTAGAAGTAACTACTTGACTGATTTTGCACTCATTTCTTCAGGGTCTGACTGCTAAAATGAAAGTGTTCCATTTCCTTTACCTTGTACTCAAAGATTTCCATTTCCCATCCCCTCATTCACCATAGTGGCTCTGCCTGATTCTGTGCATAGCGTTTAACCACTTTCACAACTTAATGGCTAAATGTTTCTATTACACTGAAAACATGAAAAATTAATTGGCAATAATCTAGTAAATTCATGCTGGCATTATTTTGCTCACTACATGAAATAAGGATGGCCTGCTGACATCTTAAGAGGTCCAGCTCTCAGGAGGCAAACACAACAAGATAAAATGTTTTTCTGTAACTCCTTAAAAACAGTACTTCCCTCATTTATAAAATATGTGCAAGAACTTCTGGTCATGATACGCAAAGCAGATAGGTCAATACCTTTCCCAAGAAAGTCAGATGCTGAACAATCAGGTGGGCGCTTTCTGTCTTCCCCGAGCCACTTTCTCCGCTGATAACGATGCACTGACACAGAAAATGACACAGAGTCAACGGAAGAGTTCTCGGCACAGAAATCATTGGGTTTTTGCTACGGTTTTCACAGAGCAGCCTCTACTGGACACCTTAATTTTTCACTGGGCAGGAAATCTATTCTAGGACTCTTTCCATTTCAGTATACAGAGAACTTCTTCAGTCCCTGTCCAGCTGTTACTGCTCCAGTGTACAGGTGTACTATGATCTATTTACTGGGGTGGATACTTGAATGGTTTTTTTGTCAAAAATTGCAATGAATATTGCTATATGTAGGTGGTTATTGTTATATGCAGATACACTATATTATATATAGATCATTATATTTATATGCAAGTTCATTGCAAAATAAAATCCAAGAATTCAGGATGTTAGAGCAAAAGGTAAAGATATTTGTAAATTTGATAAATACTACCAAATTGCTTTGCTAAGGACTCTACACCAATATGTTCTCTCCTAGTGTCAGAAGTGAATTGAATTATAGAAGGCCAGTTGTCAGAGGCTTGGAGAATTGGTTGGTGTCAGAAAACACAATATTTGGTGTCCAGAAAAAGGACGACTCAGTGGGGCAACTTCTCAACTTGCAAACCACATTTTCTCTCTCCATTTACTTCCTTTCTGTGAAATTTATCAGCGTTTCACAAGTCCTTGAGATGAATAAGAAGCCGGAGAAGCCAAATTTTTAACCTACAATGAATCCACGTGTTCCATTTTGCAACTTACATTGTTGTCATTTTATTTATATCTCAAAAACCAAAAGTTTGGATTTCACAGATCTCAGAAAATACACATATGATGATTCTCTCAAAAAGCTTACTCACCGAATTAGATTACCTGTGTTGCAAATAGAATAAGAAACAAAGAGAATACATCTATTGATATCAAAGTAGTATGCCACCAACTGTGAATTGGAAGTCTACAAAGTAAAAATTGTGTAAGTATCCAGGCACAGTGGCACATGCCTGTAATCCCTCGCTCAGGAGGCTGAGGCGGGAGGATTGCCATAAATTTGAGATTAGCCTGGACTACATAATGAGTTCAAAGCCAGCCTGAGTTATAGATTCAGATCTTGTCTCAAAAAAACTGTATAAGTAAAGTTTGTGTTTCATTAACATTGAGTTTGAGGTTTATTCAATTTTAACCTAACCCACCATTTCTCAGCAGCTAAATGGTGTGATTCCAAAAAAAATTTTTTTTTTCTTTTTGAAACAGGGTTTCAGTTCAGGTTGGCCTGGCACTCACTTTGTGACTCAGTTTGGCCTCAAACTCACAAAGAAGATTCTCCTTTCTCAGCCTGCCAAGGGCTGGAATGATAGGCGTGCACCCCTATACCTGGCTAAAATTTCATATATAAAAACCAAGTCATGAAAATACTGAGACATTAATGGAAAGGAATTCGATTTATACCATTCTGCATCCAGCCTTTTTTACAATCATTGCTATTAATCAGTGGTCTGCTTTATGTTCTCATGATACCATGGTAGAAGTATCTTCATCACATTTTACGAAAGTGAGTGGGTGCTGTTCATGTCTCTTAAAAGCTGTTTCTCCTCTTCCTGATACCATGGCTTTATCAGTGTTATGGGTGCTCAGAGCTGTGACTTCACTTCTCATTTCCTTGGGCAATTGGAACAGCATGGTTTCAGGAAGCTTTAGAAGTTGAAGAGGAAGGAAGGCAAGTCCCTACCTGGTCTTTGCTGAAAGTAACCAAGCACTGGTAAGCAGCGTCTGCTGATGCAAATATGTGGGGGGGATTTGAGGCACGTCTCACCCCATGATACAGCCTGGAAAACTGAAAGAAAAAGTGACTAATTTAAAGGAAGATTCTAATTTTCTGCTAGAACATCTAAAGCTCTCACTATCTGTTGCCCAGGAAACCAAGGTTTTGACACTTGTTAGCCTCCTCCTCAAAAGGCTCTGTCTGGCATCTCCTGGCCAGAGTTCAAATTGTAACTGCATATATTGGCTTCATGAGCTGGTGCAAGGGTGTTACTTCCCTATGTTAAGTCTCCTTGGCCACCAAATTGGCTCAATAGTGGCCCCTGCCTCACAGAATTATGAAAAGTGACATAATCCAGTGCCTGGTATATAGGAGGCACTCAGTATTTTTAGCTATTATTATTGTACCTTCCTTACCCCAAAGGTAAAAACTCCATTTGTTTTGCATTATTATCTGTAGCTTGGGGTATACACCCTTAGGGTGACATGGCTTTTAGTAACACATTTTGCTTTGCCCACATGATTCTTTCTCGGTGCTGGGGATGGAGGTCAGGGCTGCGGGGATGCTAGGCAAGCACTCTGTTGCTGAGCTGCATCCCCAGCCTAGCCCAGCCCAGCCCCTATGGTGCTTAGTTTTCCATTAAGGACCAATATGCTCTTAAAGTCTCCCTTACCTGCGGAGAATATATGCTGAGATTCTGGAAGGGGTTTAAGGCTATTAGGATGTCTCCAACATATGTATAAATCAGTAAGTCTGCATAACGTTTCTGCAACTGATGAATAATTGTATCCTAAGGAGAGGATAAATGGTGGGGAGAATAAACACTGTATTCAGTCAAGGTAGTTTCTATAAACAACACATTATTACAAGAATATTTTTCTCTAGAAAATTAAAGTATCCATTTAAATCATACAGTGATCTTAATGTTATGAAAGAATTAAGAACAGAAATATGCTAGAAGAATTAGAACACAGAGATATCCAACAAAAATTTTACTTGTTATTGGGGGGGAAATATTCTATTTAGAATTTGATTTACTAGGCTATTCCTAATGTAAAGCACAGACAAAAAAAATAACAGTTTCATTTCTCAAAATGTTGCACCTGAAATCTATGCGGTAGAAATCTGAATCGCAACATTTTGATATTACATGTGTGATGGAGATGTTAAAGTTAGAGGTCCCCAGAGTTAGACTCAGCAAAAGCAGGTCCAGTGTAATTAAATGCTCCATTAACCATGCACATGTTAAAAAGGAATTATTACAGTTTTTAGATTTAGAATGCAAGCATGTAACTTTACTACTTCACTAAGTGTAGCTTCTCTTTATGAAGAGCAAACGACTATTTTAATAATTAACAGCAACTTTTTATTAAGCAGAAATGAATTTCAGCAGGTAGAATCTGTCCTAAAGGCCTATGATAGAAAAAGCTTTCCTAGAAAAATTTAGATCCTTTCTCTTCACCCCAGAGACTATAAATGAACACAACACAGGATCATAGCCTTAGTAACCGAGTGTACCCGGTTTTGCATGGCTATACAATTAAATTTTCAAATGACCTTAAAAGAACATGTACTTATATAAAACAAAAGCCATAAATGAGCATTGTCTACTAAATATTCAGCACCTCATCCAGGACCTCTAGATTGACCAAATCATCCTCAAGGCAGTATTTTTCAGCATTTTCCACATGATAGGGTCTTCCAGTATGCATCCTTTCATGCCTAGAAATATATCAAGAGAGTATTAGCTTTCTGACAGTAAATGATGTGTGAGGACTCATTCACAGTCTTATCACATGGTGCATTCAGAGACCTCAGAGACACCAAGTGCAGGCCAGATGCCCAAGCCCTTCCCTGCGGAGCCAACAGAGAAGCAAACTCCATAGCTCGAGCCTCTTTTCTCTTACAGTGAGGAGGAGCATTACCAGTTACCTGCCACATATATTTGTTTTTTTTTTCAGTTCCAGCCATAGCCCTTCCAGGAATAGGTAAACCATACATTTCCTCTGCTCAGGGTGATGCAAGATCACTTTTTTTCCATGTGCAATATTGCATGTAAGAGACCAAGTCATAAAAATTCTGAGCCCTTAATAGGCAGGCATCTCACTGATGCCATTGTGCACCCTGTTTCTATCATAGTCAGGATTTTTGCTTGGAGGAGATGTTTGAGTGCCTCATCTGCCAGCACCATTCTCAACTTTTTGAAATATTTTTAAAACTACAGAAAACTTCTGAGAATAATAAAGACCAAAGAACTGATCATCATTTATATTTTACCTTATTTGTTTATTCAAATTCCTTTTGTAACCTCTGTCCCATCCTGGTCCTCTCATGAGGTGACCATTATTTGGTGTGTGCCCTTGCAGTCTATTTCAAATGCTGGCCAAATATGTGGACATACACATGAATAAGATGAATAAGTTCTTTAGGTTTAATTATAAAAATTATATTATACTCTAGATTTCATTCTGTAAATTCTGGTTTTTTTTACCAGTACCAGGGATCGAACTCACGACCACATGCTTGCAAGGCAGGCGCTTATGCCGCTGAGCTAAATCCCAGACGCTCATTCTGTAAACTTACTTGTTTCATTCAGTATTATGATTTTTTAAGCTATCAGTCACCTTAACATGGACAATGTCTCATCAAATAAAGATATGTCAACCTACTTACCCATTTTTTTTATGTTGGCCAACATTTACGCTAATTCTTTTTTTTTTTTTTTTTTTTTGGCTACTAAAAACAACATAGCACACAATATATTAGACATATCTTTTTGTATATAAATGTGAGTTTTTTTTCTGGGGGGGGACATTGCTCACCAGACATTTTAAAAACTTGGTTGGTAATAACAACAATCCGTTTGCCACAGTACACCAAAAAATAGTTCTTTGAGGCATAACATTAATTCTACGTCAAAATAGACCTTCCTTCAATACCTTTCATAAACTTGTTAAGACTTAATATGGTGTTGTGGGAAAGTACTAATTTAGAAGTTAGAGCTCTGGGTTCTAGCCCCAGATGTGTGAGTATGGGACACTCAGAAACTCCTCTACCTTCCAATATCTTAATTTTCCAACCTACAAATAGACTCATTTATGACTGGTCTATCTATCCCACGGGTGATTGGTAGCATATGTAGCCACAGATACAAAAATGCAGAAGGAGCCAGGGGTTTTGCTCAGGCAGCACACGGGCCTACCTGGCAAGCGTACATGAGTTTGATCCTCAGTACCAAAGAAATAAAAGAAAGAGAAAAATGCAGAAGGAGCTGGGAGTGGTGCATGCCTGTAACCCTACCGCTAGGGAGGCTGAAGCAGAAGGATCATTGTGAGTGCAAGGCCAGACTGAACCACAGAGTGAGACCCTCTATCAAAAAACCAAAGAACAAAAACACAGAAGGGCCAGAAAAAAACGCATCAAGTCCTGTATTTATATCCTTGTCAAAATCTGGAATCAACACATTATTCAGAGTACCATTAATTAAACACAACTACACATATTCTCTCATGTACTGTAAACTCGCCAAGAGAAGCTTCACAACCGGGTTCTTCTGATACCTTGTTTGCCAACCCTCATCACAGCTCAGTAGGATGTCACCCACTGACATGGTCCAATCTAGCCAGGTCCACAAGTGGGTTCTACCTCCACTTTGCCTGTGAGTACAATTTAGAAGTCATAGAATTTTGATATACACCTACTAAGTGTAGGTAAAAAAGAAAGATGCAAACTCATCAGCTCTACGTATTGAGTCTTAAGCATACAACACAATGGAAAGAGACAAATAAAAAATTGGCTCTTTTCCTGTTTATTTCAAGTCTATTAAATTAAATCTCCCTTCCCAATCTCTCTCTCTGACAGATTTGAGGAAGGAAGATTACAAACATGCTGTCAGTCATTTTTTGTACTAGGATCAGTATTGCTGCTATTCATATAAAGGACCTATATAGAACGCAGCTTAACTTTATTTAAAATAAAATGTATAACCTTGGTATTTTTTCATCTTTTTAAAATCTTTATTGTTGTTGTTTGGGAGGGCATTTTTTGGTTATTTGTTTGTTTTTGAGACAAGGTCTCACTATGTAGTTTAGACTGGCCTTGAACTCACTGTGTAACCCAAGTTGGCTCTGAGTCAAGCAATTCTCCTGCCTCAGCCTGTTGAGTGCTGGAATTACAGGCATGCACCACAATGCTTCGTATAATCTAAGCATCTTTAAGTTATCAAACAGAACAATTTATTCATTGGTATCTTTGTATATTGGTGATAACAAAGAGAAATCAAATTTGTGTGAAATTTTACTATAACTCAGAGCAGCTCCCTGCTTCTAGGTAACCATTTCACTGATAAAAGAAAAGAAAGGCACACCTTTCTGATCAAAACCCCTATATGAACCAAAGCTTTTTTTTCTGCTTGAAGTTACTTGTCCAGAAAAATTACACAATGCTTTAATGCTTTTTAATAGAATAATTAAATTCTCATCATATTAAGTTCAGCAAATTTATGTCCTTCTTAAATTTGTCTTACATCTGTGTGAAATAAGGTAAGTTGGAATTTATCCTACATATCATTTGACAAAGAAAGTCAAGAATTAAAACTTTGTCAGCGGACCTGGCTCCTGTCAAGATGGAATGAATAAGCACTTTTCCTCTGTCTCTCCACCAGGTTCAACTAAACATCTTGGAAAGACAGCAGCTGTCTCAGGACTCTGAGAGCAGAACAGTAACAGGCAGACTGGGGAAGGAAACAAGAATACAAAGTGGCCCTGGACCCATCGTGCGCTTCCCAGATACTCCTGACTGTGACTCAAATGTCCTCTGAACCATATCCCCAAATGCCAAGCTTCTTAGAGCCAACTAGAAGGAAAGCACTGTAGGGGAGACTTCCACTGGAACTTCACCAGTACACTTCCCGTGTAAACACACGTAGCACCAAACCACCAGGCTGGGGATTAGCATCTTCTGAGCCTGTAGCAGACTGTCTATATTTGCAGTGACCTATCTGCCTATAGCACAAATACAGCCTTCCAAGCATCATGTAGATGCTGTCTGTGTTTGATTCTCACAGGGGTTTTCCCCAGTAATATTTTATAAACAAATGAACCCACAAACTTTCAAAAGATTTTACCTGCTGTTACTAGCACTGCATGACTTCTTTCCCTGTTATGGTCAATTAAAATACTTAGTATTTACGCCAAAAATTGAAGTTGATCACCTAGAAGTGATGTAGATACAAGATTTTTCTACTCTGATAAAAATCTTCCACTTTCCCAACCAGAAAATGCACACACACACACACACACACACACACACACACACACACATGTGCACTCATACCAACCCAACAATGTCCTCTGAAACTACTGCCTGACTTACTTTCCTTTGGCTCTGGGGTTTAGAGAGCTTGTTATCTTCCTTTGGGTTGGAGAGTTTATTAAAGAAAAACATTATTGATTTTAATTTCTATCTCTTTTTAAAACATTATCTTAGACTTCAGATATACTTGCAAAAATTGTTACATTATTTTATATTTCTCTATAGCTGACATTAATGAAAATAAATTTGGTATAATTTTTTTCAGTTTCCTTGCATTAAATGATTATCACTACTGCTACTAACTCCAATTTTAAATTTTCTTCAAATCCACATGCTCCACCTAGTGCCTTATATAAGAATAACATCCACTCCTGATTTTTGCTGAAAAATTCCTTCTTTCCTATGAAAATTACTACAAAGTACTTGGGTGAGTATTCTAAAGGATAGAGAAATAGAAGGAGGGAGGGAGAAAAGCAGAGAGAGAGAGAGAGAGAGAGTTTGATTTTGTTATATCAAAAGAGTATGGCTCTTGACATTTTTAATGGCTCAAAGACATTTTCAAATCCAGGTAAGTCTATATTGCATTTTTCTAGATTTCCTACTGTGTTTAGGAGGCTCTAAGCATGTTGGTTGCCAGGCCCTGCTTCTCAACCAAATGGAGTTTTGGAAGAACTGAGACTCCAACGGGAACATTTGCTTGGAACATTTACCAAGAGTTTCAGCTTGCCACAGTAGTGAGATGGAGTGCAGACTAAGGATAGCCTTGGGTTTTGGGAACCTCCTGTGTGTTGAGTATCTTTTGGCACGTTATGAAATAATCATTCCAGCACCACTAATTTACACAGGAACCCAGAATCCATCAGTATATGTAATAGAGTGGTGTACAAACGTGAGTTCACGTGTATGTGTGTGTTTTCACAGGCAGAATAAGCAGTGAGGGAGCAAGGCCAGCTGGGGAAAGCACAGTAGGTAACCGGTAAGAAATCTGTTTTTAAAGGTCACTGCTGCAGGTTGAAAAGAAATTAAAAACAAAACAAAAAAACTGAAGTCATTGCCTTAATCAGCCTCAGGCAAATTACGAGGGCAGAACAAAATCCATTAAACAGCAGAAAAAAAAAAAAAAAGACTAGCAATTTCTTCTACAAAGCAACATGCAACACTTAAAGTAGACCTCTGGCCTTTGCGGGTTCAACATTTGCCTCTCAGCTAGCTCCAAGCCTCCTACGGGGCAGGACATGCTGGAACTTGTGGTTTTCTTGAGGTTCACAGTTGAGTTCATGGTCATGGCAACTGATCAGGGCCTTCCCACACTTCAGGGAGTGGTGTTCTCTTCTCTCCAGAATGCTTATAAATAATAAAATGCATGATTTCAAGTCTACTTCTTTGAACCTCAAGTCTACTTCTTTGAA